CGGAAAGGTTGGTGATTTGAACCTGCCCGGTGGCTCCGAGTGAGAAAGACCTGCCGGTCTCCTCCTGTAAAGATTAAAAAAAAAAAAAACCCATTCCGTGGAGTTGATTCTGACTCATAGCGACCCTATAGGACGAGTGGAACTGCCCCATAGGGTTTCCAAGGCTGTAATGTTTATGGAAGCAGACTGCCACATCTTTGTCCTGAGGAGTAGCTGGTGGGTTTGAACCTCCAACCTTCTGGTTAGCAGCCGAACGCTTAACCACTGTGCTACCAGGCCTCCTTCCAGAATTGACTCGACGGCACATAACAACAGTACTCTTACAGCTTTCCCATTCCTGACTTGTTTGATTGTTCTCGTTGTTGTTAGCTGTTGTGGAGTTGACCCTGACTCATGGTGACCCGTGCACAAAGGGATTGGACCGTTGTGATCCATGCGCTTTTCATTGGCTGATTTTTGGAAGCAGATTGCCAGGCCTTTTCCTAGTCGGAGTCTGGAAGCTCCACGGAAACCTGTGTAGCAGCATAGCAACGCGCAAGCCTCCACTGACAATGGTGGTGGCTGTGCTTGAGGAGTATTGGCCGGGAATGGAACCTGGGTCTCCTGCATGGAAGGACCAGCATTTCCCTCTTTATTTTGATTAATCAGCATCAGTAGTTCCCTCCCCAAGAAAACTGCAGGTTTGAGTGCTTGAAAATGTCTGTTGTCTTTATACATGTACAAGTCTTCATGTACAATTCTTCGATCATGCTTTGTGCTTCTTCCAGGCATGGGGGAACAGCTGGTACAAAGGTCCTGAGGCTCATGTGGCTGAAGAGTAGAATAAAGATAAGATTTAGGGAAGAAAGAAGGGGCCAGAAAATTGAGAGCCTCGTATGCTATTTTGAGGAGATGGAATCTGTTCTAGTGGCCGAGAAGACAGGAGTGATACGACCTACTCCTGGAAGGGGGGGAGATCAGTTAGAAGGCCACACAAGGGACGGTGGCAGCTGTGCTGGGGATGGGGAAGAGCAGATACGTTGGAAGGACATTTGTGAGACAGAATTCACAGGACTTGTCAGTGGAGTGGGTGTGGGGAGCAGGATAAGACAGAAGAATCAAGGATGGCGCTGGGTGTCTGAGCAACTGGGTGTATGGTGGTGGCATTCACCAAGTTAGGTAGACCGTGGGAGGAGGTGA